AGAAATATAGTAAGATGAATGTAGTAAAACATTTGTGTATAAGAGAAGTGCGTGAGAAGAAGAGTTGGAGAAAGAGTTGGAAGGGAGAGGAAGGGAGTTAGGGAAGGAAAGATTACTGGAAGTTCATTGTATTCATAGGAATTCTACGTCAAGGAGCATTCCGTTACAATTGGGAAGAGTATTCCCAGCCTTACCCTTACATTTATACTATATAAATATATATATAAAATGTAGAATGTAGTCAAATATTATCTTAACTAATCATTTGCTTTATCTTTGTGTCTTTACAGGTGAGTCTCAGACTGACACGTTATGTTACCTTTGAGTAAGTGCATTTAAAGTTGTAGTGTTTAAGCCAAGTTAGTCTAAGTCAAGCTCCACATTGAAACGCGACCAACCTAATGCCACTCTGCACTTGTCTGTGGTGCGTTGTTCTGGCTGCAACAATCAAAAGACATGAAAATAAATTGCGCTGATAAAAAGCAATTGAAACGTCAATATGCAATAAAAGCGAAGCAGAAAGAGGGCTGTTGGGGTGGCAGAGGCAAGGGCAGCAGAAGCCAACATGAAATTTATTTAAGTGAAAAATGCACGCACATAAAAATTGGAAATTGAAATAACCGAAACGAAACGAAACAAAACAAAACGAAACGAAGTGAATCGAAGCGACAAACAAAGTTTCCTAACTGACGGTCAATTGTAGTTGACCCCCAAACTGTCCCCAAGCCTCGCCTGCCTCATGCTACTCTCAAATATTTTACTGATAAGCCAACAGCAAATGCATTTCGAGTCATCGGAGGCAATGACAAAAGTCAAGTCATCGCTTATCGTCGATATATTTCTCATAGTTTCTGATATGCTAATGGACAACGTCCGGAAAGTTCTCAAGTACATTTTAACGTAGATCTATGTGCACCATGTCAGCATAGAAATAAGTCAAATATTAATGTGTAAAGCAAATATACTTCAAATAATATAAATTGGCCTATCGGTTATCGATGAGCTATCGATAAGTGCAAATGACGCTCTGAACATGATCGATTAACACAGCTCAGGTACAGCCCTTAAATATGCCTGCATTATGAATGCATTTCCATTGAAATGGCTAAAATAGTTTCATAATGCAAAATGCTGTTGTTGTTGTTGTTGTTGTTAGCGCTTGGACAACTTCTCCTTGTTGTTGTTCTTGCTGTCGTTGTCGCTGTCGCTGTCACTTCATGTTGCTCATGTTGTCTCTCTGCCCACAATCAGTGGCAGCCCACTTTTATGTACCGCCCGCCCCCCTCTGCCCAACTCGCTGGTAAATGCAGCCGAGCCAACTCGTGGTGGGCTGCCTGTTGCCCCCTCTCTCACTCTGTTCGACTGCCGCTGCCTGCCTCAACTGCAAATGCCGCGCGCGCCACTGAACGACATTAAACCTGACTTTGTCATTATGCCTCTCGCTCGCACGCATAGTCGCTATGGCTCGCTACTGCTGCGTCGCAACTACAGCCAAAGCGGACCGAAGCAAAAACCTATCCGAACAAGGCAAACTGGGCAAAAGAAAATTCAACAAATTATTATGATTTTTATATGCATGGGCTCTATGCATTTATGAGCAAGAGATAGGGAGAGGGAAAGGGAGAGCGGCTGAGCGAGCGCCCATGGATAACACTGGCTATGCGACGCCAGCAGCGCAGCAGCAGCGAAGCTGACTCGTTCAGTAGATTTGTGTGTCTTCGCATAAATTTAGCAGCTTGTATGACACGGCATCGCAGACAAGTTTTCTGCTTTTTGTTTTTATTTTCTAGCAAGCTGTGCTAGTGTGCATGGGTGTGTGCGTTGGCAGCGGCAGCGGCAGCGACTGCGACTGTGTCTGCTACCGTGTTTTTTGCTATTTGCCGGCAGCGAACTACCCCAACAAATGGCAGCCGTGACGCTCCTCACGCCCTACCAACCACACACACACACTGTCGCCCACTCCTACTCACACACATATACATATATAAACTCGCAGTTGCACTCACACCCAAATTGCTCCAGTGTACTACTGAACGTTTGGCAGTCGGCCAAAGCAGTGGAGACACACACACATGCTCAGCATACTCACCCAGAGAGATATTTTACAAGCAGACCGACAGAAAGAGAGAGAGAGAGATAGAGCGAGGGAGAGGGAGAGAGAGAATGAGGTATGTCCCCTTCTCCACACCGCAATTCATACTCAGCTGTCATTGTTGATATTTTGTGTTTTCATCTTGAACTTTTGTGGTTCAATGTGTCTAGCCAACCCCCAAAATAAAATGCTGCCAAACGCCAAATTCACCACAGACAGCAGCGCATTTCCCCAAGCTGCAGCTCCCTCGCTCGCTTGCAGTCGCGCGCTCTCTGCCTCTGTTGCCCTTGCCTTTTGCCGGCTTTTTTCTATGCGTATGCGTAGACGCTTTCGCTCTTTGCGCTGTAGCTCGCTCTTCCTCTGTCTCTCTCTCTATCTGTCTCTCTGGCGTTGTTGCCGCTGCTTGCAGCGCTCTATTGCATTCTACACTTGAACTTGCCCAGCGTTAACTCAACACACACACACAAACACAAATACACATACACGCAGACAGACTGTGTCTGACTGTCTACAATTATCTGCTGCTCCCCTTTGCACTCCCTCTCTCCCTCTGGCCGCTTCTATTGGTATCTGTGTATCTCTGTATCTCTGTTTGTTTGCCTCTGCGCTTACTTTTTAACCACATTGTATTTGAAATGTGCAATTTCATATGTCGGCGTCGCCGTCGTCGGCGTCGCTGTCGTCGCCGTCTGCTTTAGTTGAGTTTTATTTTCTTATTGTTGTTGTTATTATTTTTGTTGTTCAGTGTTTGCGCTGTAGATCTTTGCCTTTCATCAATTACGTCTCAGCACGGCGTCGCTTTATACACGTACTTCTAGATACAGATACTCGCACTCGAATTCGTTTTAATATTTGTATTCGTATTCGTATTCGTTCTGCTATTTACTTCAAGGCAAAGCGTTTGTTGTAGTTGAATTGAAATATTTTGATCTGTCTGATATTAGCTTGAAGCCTTTGTAAATTATATTTCACTTCACCTGCACTTTATCTCAAAGCATCCATTCTGCAGAGATCGTTTCGCTTCTTGATCTACACAAAAAGCAGGTCTCAGCTTTAACAGGCAGTTAACATGCAGTTTACAATGCATTTCGTAAATATTCTTATCTAGTCCAATTTAAACAAGCTCGTTAGGCAAATATTTGTTTTATGGAGTTCTTGTAAGTTTAACAAAATGGATTTCTGAATGACTTAAAAACTTTTTAATGTCTCAAAAATTATGCATTTAGATAAAAGCAAAGAGATAAGATACGTTCCTATTAGGGTCCCGCTGTAGTCATAGTATTGCAAAAATGAAAGCGAGAGGAAGGGGAGAGAGTTGTATGATACATTATTTATTTATTTTTTTTGTTTGATAATTATCTGTTAACTTTGATAAAGCGAGTGATAGAAAAATATTTCAAATAACCAAAAAAATGTATTAAAAAAAAAAAAGTATCTGTAGTATCAAAATTTATCTGCAGTTTTCTTTACCGTCTTTATGATATATAAACATACTGAAATTGAACAACGCTTAAAAAGTTGTGTATTTTGTATCTTTATCTTTATCTATATGTTTGTAGTTCCAAGCATGTTCTTCTCTATAAAAAACACAATAATAAGAAAATTAACACTAAATTTCCTTAGCTCTCACTTGGTTGTTTACAAATTTCCATTTCCATTCATTTTCATGCATAGTATGTAAATAGGTATCTACACACACATTGACACACACACACTTACACATACATATATGTAAATGCATTTGTACTAGAAAATTCCAACGTCTCCGCTGCAAAGAGCAAGTTCCCAACTTCGCATTTGCCCTTGTCTCTGGCGGCTGTCAGTGTCTGGCAATGTTAATAACAATCGTTTTTGTGCCACTGTGCGAACACATTTCGAATGTACGTGTGAATTTGCACTTGTGCACCCGACGGCGACGCCAGTATACAGCAGCAGCAGCGGCAGCAGTAGAGCTAACAGCACACGCACACACATACAAAATACATGAAAAACCAACGAAAATAAAAAGAAAACAAATTAAAAGGAGGCAAATATAAAGGAAAGCGATGATGGCACTTGCACGCACACAAACGCAGACACGCCTCATTATTGTGAGTGTGGGTGTACACGCAACAGTGGGGTAAAGAACGCTGCCTGTATGTGAGCGAGCGTCTCTTTATAGCTGTGTGTGTACGTGCCGGAGAGGCAATACAAAGAGCAGCGTGCGATTGCATCGGCATTTTCATTCAAGCCACTCGTTGTTGAGTGTGTATGCGTGTGTGAGAGAGCGTAAAATATTTATGCGTGTGTGCGCTGCGCTTCACATTTAACTTTAGCGTTGATTCCGTTTTCGACTTTTGTGAGCGAATGTTTGCTCTGGTGTGGGTTGCTGCCGACGCGCGCGCTCACTGTTGCTCTCCCTCTCGCAGCGGCGGTGGTGGGTTTCGTGGTGAGTTTTGTCGCACTTCATCATTCCCAATTTAACAGAGCAATAACATTTAGTATTTGTTTGGACTTTACATTTAGTATTTGTTTGGACTTTGTCGTTAACGGTTCGTTCTCCCGTTCGCTCGTTCGTTCGTTGTGTTTTTTGCGGTTTGCTTTTGAATAAAAAAAAAAAATAAAAGAAAATAATTGTATAAATTAAAAATATATTATTAATAAAGCATAACGGTTGAGCCGAAACTCTTATTTATATTACGCGATGCCACAAAGTTAATATAACAAATTTATGCTATACAAAATAAAACAAAACAAATATAAATTGTTAAACACAAGTGCAATTGAAATAAAATATATTTAGGTACAACAAAGTGCAAATGCATTAAAGCTGACAAAAAAAAAAAACAACAGCCTGAAGTGCAACAGTTTTATAAATTTATTTATATATATATTTAAATATAAATATATATATATATGTTTTGAAATTCTGCCTCTCACAGCCGCTGCATGCGGCATGCTTTAAAATAGCAGCGAGCCAAAAAAAAATAGAATAGAAAAAGAAACAGTCAAAATGTGTAAATAAAAACGCACATGAATCTAAACATTTTACAGTGAAAGCAAACACACCACCACAGCACTCAAACATAGAAAGAAACACGCACACACAGACACACACACGCAGACACCTACAACAAGAACTATCAAACATCAACAACAGCCGCAGCGGCAGCGACAGCAACACAACGTTTATCATACAGCGACGTCGACTACGCTACGTAATCAACCAAGAGCCGAGGGAGCCAAACGCAACAAAGAGGAAGAGCAACAGCGGCGTGTTAAACGGCGACGGTGACGCCGACTGCGACGCTAATGTCGACGACGTCAGACTAACGTCTGCAGTTTGTCTGTCTGCACTGTCTGGGTATGTCCTGGCGTCTACAGATGTACGACTGACGACTACCGAATTGATTGACTAACTGCCCGACTGACTGACTGACAGCCACAGTGCTCTATCTCGCTCGCACACCCGCATTCTCAGCGCATCACAGTTAAAACAGTTGCCAAAAGTGCCCCAAAAGCAAGCAAAAAAATGAGAAAATAAGTGAAATGAAATGAAATATGAGCAAAAAGTGTACAGTGTATAAAATCTAAAAGCCACCAAGAATTACAGTGCAAAGAGTGCGAAAGAATACAAAAGCAAAACAAAAGCAAAGAAATTGCTTACGCTCCATCTTTAATCTATAACTTTGTAAATGGATAACTATTTATATGGATTAGTAGCTGATTTAACGAATTTCGTAGATGCTAACGGTAAGTTGGAAGCGTAAGAGGACGACGAAAATATAACTGTTCGCGTGTGCAAAACTCGTTGAAAAGTGAAGAAAGCAAATTGAAAGAGTGAAAAAAGGCGAAATTCAGAAATGAGGGAGTTTTTAATAAAATGAAATATATATTTTTTGAACTTGTCAGACAATCAGGGACTCAGAGGCTCATAAATATATAATTAGTTATGGGAAATAGCTAGTTAAAGATGTCAATAATTGTATATTCAAGTGTGCTCTCTCTCTGTCTCTCTCTTTCCGTCTTCCTCGTCAGATGTCGAAATGGATCTGATGTGAATTAGGCTGTCATCCGTTCGACACTTGTTTATTTACTTTTTATGCGATTCTGATTATTTACATTTGACCTGTCAACCATTCAATCAGACACAGATTGGGATTGGAATCTAGTTTGAGATACATGCGATGCGCTTGAGCGAAACAAGCTACGCATTTCCTTTCCGACCGGCCAAAAAAATAGGCAGAACCATGAAAAAAGAAAAACAGCAAAACGAAAATGTGCTCAAAACTTGGCCAAGTGAAAAAATGAAAAGCAGCGTGAAGCCATTTCTATGCCAAGATACGCAGCACATAGAAGATACATTTGTATCTGCAGATACTTTTGCTGTAGGCACACATGTTTCTGGCCATAAATTGGTAATACATTAATTATTGTCATGACAACTGACAGACGGCCAATTAAAGCGCATTTGCTGAAATGTAAATTTATATTTTTTTAACACACACACACGCACGCACACACAGACGGACACACACTTGAGATACATTTGGATATACAGTGAGCACTTGGCACATGTAATTGGCATCGAACAACCGAATTATACAAATAAATTGTGCTGCTTATTGACTTTTCAAGTGGCGAGCTCTTCCCTCCTCCCCACTCCACTTGCTAAGTGATTATCCATCATTTGGGCTGGAATCAGGCAAATTTGCTTGAATTGTAATGTGAGCCGATTTCAAATATCTAAGCTGATTTTGAGAAAAATAAATTCGGCACTTCTTGAAGAAGAAACGACAAATTTGTTTTGGCCAAAGGCCATATTTAACCATATAAGTCGATTTCAACTGGAAGCAATTCAAAGTTAAAGGGCTTCAGCCTGAGTAGTTTCATGGTTAGGTTGAATTTAGCTAGAACCAATTGAGAATTCTAAATCAAATATGCTTGAAAAGCTTTTGTTAAGATATTGCTATCTCAACTATTCGCAGTACACGAAGGGACTTTGAACAATTGAGTTTTGACATTCAGTTATATATATCATTATATATGCTATGAATCAGAGTAGTACACACACTATTCTAATGCGTTGTACTTGAAGAATTAAGCTTAGACGTAAGAAAGTGCTGGATCCAATACAATTTCGTTGTTATCTATCTGAACTGCTTCTCTTGCTCTATTGGCAAGCCGATATGCTTGTCAAAGCCATCAAAAGTCTTTGTCCTCATTATGAAAGCATCAAATTTGTAATCAAGTTTTGTTAATTGATGTTCACGCTTAAAGTGCGCCGCTGAACTTTGATTCCTAGTAATATATTTATATATAAACACATTATATATATATATATATATATATATATTTGTTTGGTGCTGCGTAATATGATTCAACCTGCAGAAAACAGCAACAAGAGGCATTGGGCGGCCTATCAATAATACCACAAACTCAGCAGGACACCACAGCCTAATGAAGTTAATGATGATAATGCTGTTCCTAATGACAATGACGCTGATGATGAACGCGCTTCCGTACTAATTGTTTTGGCTGGCTTTGCGCGTGTCGCAATTTTTTCTTGTTTTGCCCACAATTTTTTGTTTCTTTTGGTTGAGTTGCTTTTTTCGTAGTGCCCTCTATTCGTATGCCATATACACTGTGAGAAAAGTATATATAGTATGTGGTATATTGCATATATCTGGAAAACTTCTTTGATTTATTGTCTTTACTCTCGGGCATCAATATATTGAATGCATTTAGAATGAAAGATGAGCTAAAGCTAAGTTCGCATTGCCTTTCTTTGGGTGTATCTATTTATTTAGTTGGGCATTTTTTTTTTATTTTCAATAAAAAAGAATTGAAATTGTTGCCTAATTCCAGGCGCCTAATGAGCCAAAAAGCCACATTAACCAACTCGCATTAGTTCGGACCAGGCGCAATTAATTTGCCTGTCGCAGCGACAGAATGCCTGAGAGCCCCTATGAGCAGCACCGCCCACTGCGCCCGTCCCTACCGAAAGAAGATCCACTTTCAGGGTCTGCTGGCGACCTGTCTTTGCTCTTCTTTTTGCCAGCCTTTGCCTTGACAGCTATAAAAAAAGTTACTTGGCGTCGTTGCTGTTTGTTTTATGGTACATTAAAGTTGGCAAAATGGCAAATTTTAATGCCATTTTATGCAAATATATATGTATATATACATCTGTACACCCATGTATCTATATGTATATCAATTTCGCTCTAGGCGCACATTCCAAAGTGTTTCGTGTCTCGTGTTCCGTGCTGTGCTGTGCTCAGAGCTCTTCACATGCATTGTCAAGCTTCTGGTTTTAATAGGCGCCCCCACCCCACCTATATCTATTCATCTATGAGTTGTTTGTCTACGATTATCATAAGTATTTGTTGAGTGCGTGTGTGTGTGTGTGTGTGTGTGTATGCGTGCGTGTGTGCCTAATGTGCGGGCTTGTTCAACGGACCGATCTCTTGGCCAGTTGCTGTGTTTATGTTTTTGCGCATTTCCATGCCTAAAAGCGACTTGCTATAAACGTATAGCAAATGCTGCTACAACTATTTGCCATTTGATATCAATTTTATAGCAGAAATTTGTCGTGGTTGACAAAACAAATTCCGATTTCTTATTTATGTATAGTCATCAGTTGCTATAAAATTTATAGCACATGCATTTCAACTGAAACTCAATAGCTCTCAATATTGTTGCTATCAAGCTTCTTCCCTGTTATTATAAAGCATCTATAGTTACTATAAAATAACCATAAAGTAACTATAAAGTTACTATAAAGTTACTATGCAGCTACCATAAAGTTATTATAAAGCTACCATAAAGTTGCTATACGTCTGAAAGGTAAGTAGGCTTAGCAGCTGCTATTGCAATTTTATGCCATAATCTGACCATAATAATTATGGCAACCTATAGGAATGCAAATAGCGAAATTATTATTTCTAGCCATGTTTTATTTTGATACATAGAAATATGTAGAAAAGCCTATGTGCCATAAAAATTATAGCAAGGCCAACAAACGCATTCAGCACATCAAAACCTTGAAGCAGCTTGCCATAAAAACTCAGTTCCTATTTGGCGCCGCCTAGCAATTGACCTGCATTGTGTGCAACGTAAACAACGAGGCACCTGCAGCAGGTTCACGCCTGGAGTTCAATCAATAAATCAATTTCTAGTTGTCGCAGCATCAAATTCGATTGACTGACTGACTGACTGACTGACTGAGTAGCTGTCGATGACTGGGTCATGCATGAGTCATGCACAGGTTCGACCAGATTTCATCTGCCAACCACCCTTAAAAAAGGCGAACAGAGAAATAAATTTCAACAATTGCGAAGCGCATCAAACAGGTTTCCTTTATTGTGTTCATTGTTTGTCTTATCTGCTCTGTTGCTTGCTTTAGATGTTTCCTGTGGCTACCTCTGTGTGCGTGTTTCTGTTCTCTCTGCCTGGACATACATTGTGCAGCTCGCAGCATTTGTGTCTGCAGCTCTTTGATCGAACTCTGGAAAAACCAGAGCAGCTTCTGTTGCAACTGTGCGTGTGTGTGTTGTGGCATTAATTAGCAAAGTCTTGCCATAAAAACGGCGCTTGAAACGAGTTTCATTGCAACGCTTTCACATTGCTCAATCCATATAAAAAATAAGAAAAATTTCAAAGAAGCAGCAAAAACAAAATAAAACATGCCTGTCAACACTTTCGCAGACAATTACCGCGGACTTTCCACAGTTTTCCATCATTGCGAATGAAAATATGTTCAGACTGAGAGATAATAAGTTATGCCAACTGATTTATGAGATCAAATTAGCTCGATAAGATCTGGTGCAGACTCCGACGTGCTGAAAGTGCCACGCTTCTTATTGGAGTCAATTGGAGTCGTCTTTTGAGCTCTCAATCAATTGCTTGAAAGTCTATCCAACCGAATCCCTACAATATCCTTTCGCCTTACTACTGCTTTCTTGCCAAGCAAATATCAAAAACCCTTCTCGTTGCCCCCACAAAAAGCTAACGACCTCAGCTAAACCAAATTTACAAAAAAAACCAGATCTTTTTATGACTCACATCTGAGAGCTGATCAATATGGTATTTCAATGAATTAATTATAATATTTTTAGTCTAGCAACTGACAAAATACATATTAGGCTTGGCAGCTATAGAAAACAGAAACAGACTCAACCCAAGCTCAAGGTCGGGCAGTGTTATACATTTGCCTTAGACTAAATTGAGCTAGTTTTAATGGAGTTGAGATCAGACATTAGTTGACTGCATTTCTGATCAATAAAGAAGTTTAATCAGCTGCAAAAAACATTAATTAAAATAAAGGAAATTAGAAAAAGTGAACGTTTTCGTTCAACTGAGTTTCGATTAATTGAATCGAACTTTCAAAACTGCTCAGCTACTAGTAAATAGTTCTATTTCTAAGCCTGATTCATTGCAAGTTTTAACATCAATGTTAAACAGCTATGAACATAACCCCTTTGCAGTTTAAACTTTGTTGCATAATATTTAACATGCATGTCAAATGGAGTTAGGTCTAAAAAATCAAGAATTAAATCATATGTATATATTTATATATATGAAATGTATGCATTATGCCAGCTCAACTGACAAAGAAATAATAAACTTACAACCAGCTGCTAAATCGACCCATAATATAAGGAGTTGCCTCCTTTAGTAGCCACTACTATTTTTATGAACAACTAAATTTTATTCATTTTTCCAAAGTGTGTAGCAAAAAGGCAGCTCAATCA